TTTTTTTTTTTTCCGCTAATAATGCTTCTCCACTTACCCTTGCATGACTTGAACTCGAAACTTATTGTTCTCAAGTCAATGGTGCTACCAATTGAGTTATCTCTTCTCGTCATGTGCTTGGTATAACTTGGCATACAACTTTTTCGGATGGCATTCTCTAAACGAGCCAAGTTGGGTCCGCCCGTGGAATAAACGGGCAGGTCTAGCTCATCCGGTCCCACATATACAATTGTATACTTATATTATTATATATAAATTCTATATAATGTAATATGTAGTACTTGTAAATTAAATACATATTCATATAAAATTAAAATATTGGTCAGAAATAAAAGTAAAATATTGGTCAGAAATAAAAGTAGGTGACCCACCCCAAGGACAGGTAGCGGGCCCGCTCAATAGGATACGCAACGATTCACGGGTCAAGGCAGGGGGGTGGTTAGGCCAAGTTTGAGTCCGTAAGGCCATCTCCAACCGAAAAACTCAAACTCAAACCCATTTTGCAGTAAGTGTCCCATTTTGCAGTAATTCATCTCCAACCGACAAACTCATTCTCATACCCAAAAGAATATTCTCATAATATTCTCTTTTACACCAACTTTTATAACTTTTCAATACTACCCACATATTTTACAACTTTACAAATTAAACCACACTATTATTTTAAATTCAATTTAGATTTTATGTAATTTGAATTAATTATACATAATAAAATTGGAGAAATAAGTATTCATTAAAAAATAAAATTTGAGCACACAAATAAAATTAAAAATCGTAATTCACTAGATGAAAAATTAAAAATTATAACATACAAGATAAAATAAAAAATCAAAACGCACAAGATAAAATTAGAAATTACAACACACAAGATAAAAATTTAAAAATTACAACACACAAGATAAAATAGAAAATTACAACAATCACGTAAAAACAGATAGTCTTTCAAGTCTCGAAGTTGGCGAATTATTCCAATGATCAATTAGTGCATTCCGAAGTGCAATATGGTCATCTTTATTCCTAATTTTTTTGTACCGAGATATAAATTCTTGAAATCGAGTACTTTCATCTACTGCCATTTCGACTTCCGGCGGCGGCGTTTCTATTTCAGTTTCTATTGGTGCACTTAGGTCACGTTCATCCTCGACAATCATGTTATGCAAAATTATACATGTGGTTATGATATCATGTAGCACTACTTTTCGCCAATAACGTACTGGTCCTGCTACAATTCCAAAACGTGATTGAAGAACTCCAAATGCACGTTCAACGTCTTTTCTGCATGCTTCTTGTTTCATTGCAAAATATTTTTTCTTTGGACCACGTGGCTCATGAATTGTTTGCACAATGGTAGACCATTTTGGATATATGCTATCAGCTAAATAATAACTCATGTTGTATTCTTTTCCTTGAATTATATAATGAGCTGGAGGAGCAATACCTTGGGTCAGATCCGAAAAAAGATGAGATGATTCTAGAACGTTGATGTCGTTGTTGGAGCCCGGCAAACCAAAATAAGCATGTCATATCCATAGATCATAACGTGCTACAGCTTCAAGAATGATTGTAGGCTTTCCACTACGACCAGCATATTGGCCAGCCCACGCTGTAGGGCAATTTTTCCACCTCCAATGCATGCAATCTAAACTCCCCAACATTCCCGGAAAATCACGTTGCTGGCCAATGTATAGAAGCCTGGAAATATCATCAGATGTGGGCCTCCGCAGATATCGCTCGCCAAATACCTCAACTATCGATCGACAAAATTTTTTCATACTTTCAATTGCAGTAGACTCACCAATTTTAACATACTCGTCTGTAGCATCTGCTGGAACGCCGTATGCCAACATACGAAAGACAACAGTTATTTTTTGTATTGGAGACAATCCAAGTCTGCCAGCTCGATCCACTCGTTGTTGAAAGTAATGATCATGATCTTTGACTGCGTCGACAATTCGAAGAAACAAGGAGCGAGACATTCTGTATCTTCTATGGAACATGGTCTCGTTATACAATGGATTTTCTGAGAAATAATCATTGTACAACCTACGATCAGCAGCCTCTCGATCACGATTGATAAAAATATGCCCAGGAACAGAACCTCCATGGGAGGCTTCTTGATTTTGTTGATTGATAAGATGTTGAATGATGATGTTGTTATTAGCGATAGCTTGAGCTATCACTGCTTGTTTTTTACGAAGAGCATTCATAATTAGCATATGATCATCCTCAGAATCAGATGAAGAATATGACGAATTGCCAAAATTAAAATTCATTGTAGAAATGTAGGAGAGAGAAATATGATAAGATGTTTGAAGAGATTCAAGCGTGTGAATGCTTTAGTAGATGTTATGTTCTTATAGTAGTGAATTTCAAAGGTGTGGCAACCTTTGTAGGGAGTGATTATTTTCAAGTCAAAGCATTGATAGGCGTGACAGTCTTTGAGGTGAGAGGTCATTTTCGGGCTCAAAGCATTGAGAGAGGTGAGGGACATTGCAGTGATATGTCATTTTCATGTCAGACCATGGTTAAGCGTGATCAACTTTGCAGTGATATATCATTCGGGTCAGAACATGGATAAGTGTGATCAACTTTGCAGAGGGTGTCCATTTTTGGGTCAAAACATTGGGAGAGGTGGGGGACATTACAGTGATATGTCATTTTCATGTCAGACCATGGTTAAGCGTGATCAACTTTGCAGTGATATGTCATTCGGGTCAGAACATGGATAAGTGTGATAAACTTTGCAGAGGGTGTCCATTTCCGGGTCAAAGCATTGAGAGAGGTGGGGGACATTGCAGTGATATGTCATTTTCATGTCAGACCATGGATAAGCGTGATCAACTTTGCAGTGCTATGTCATTCGGGTCAGAACATGGATAAGTGTGATCAACTTTGCAGATGGTGTCCATTTTTTGGTCAAAGTATTGAGAGATGTTGGGAACATTGCAGTGATATGTCATTTTCATGTCAGACCATGGTTAAGCGTGGTCAACTTTGCAGTGATATGTCATTCGGGTCAGAACATGAATAAGTGTGATAAACTTTGCAGAGGGTGTCAATTTTCTGGTCAAAGCATTGAGAGAGGTGGGGGACATTGCAGTGATATGTCATTTTCATGTCAGACCATGGATAAGCGTGATCAACTTTGCAGTGCTATATCATTCGGGTCAGAACATGGGTAAGTGTGATGAACTTTGCAGATGGTGTCCATTTTCGGGTCAAAGTATTGAGAGATGTGGGGAACATTGCAGTGATATGTCATTTTCATGTCAGACCATGGTTAAGCGTGATCAACTTTGCAGTGATATGTCATTCGGGTCAGAACATGAATAAGTGTGATAAACTTTGCAGAGGGTGTCCATTTTCGGGTCAAAGCATTGAGAGAGGTGGGGGACATTACAGTGATATGTCATTTTCATGTCAGACCATGGATAAGCATGATCAACTTTGCAGTGCTATGTCATTCGGGTCAGAACATGGATAAGTGTGATCAACTTTGCAGATGGTGTCCATTTTCGGGTCAAAGTATTGAGAGATGTGGGGAACATTGCAGTGATATGTCATTTTCATGTCAGATTATGGTTAAGCGTGATCAACTTTGCAGTGATATGTCATTCGGGTCAGAACATAAATAAGTGTGATAAACTTTGCAGAGGGTGTCCATTTTCGGGTCAAAGCATTGAGAGAGGTGGGGACTTCTGCATAGAGTTGTAATTTCGGGTTAAACCATGTAGAGAGGG